CTAATTTTGAAGAGGAGAATATCGCCAAAATAAAGCTGTGCCATTGATGAAACTCAAAGGACGTTTGCGAGCAAATAATCTCACCAAATCTCCATTGTCACAAATGGAGAAATGTGTGCAGTGAGAACACATCCCCTTTGATATGCACCAAATAAATAAACTACAGTTGAGCATGTGAAATTGGAGAATTGCATGCAATGCATCCTTAAAAACTTTCACTAAGAACGCGACAATCCATAGAGCACATGATCAAAGACCAGAGATGAAGTGGTAAAACCCCTTTTAAACCCCTCACCACAGTGGGCAATTGGACGAAAACGAGAAAGCATTGTTATATTGAAATTTCCTCATCTCCGATGGTATGTTATTCTTTCGCAAATGCATTCCATTGCTTCCGAGCACGTGCAAATCCCCATTTGTTCAAAATCTCGATGAATGCTCTCCGGCTTATCACCTGCGCCGATCCAGCGCATATGAATAGAGAACTAAAGGACAATCATTTGGACTAGAAGATTTACACAAATGCGCACAGTGACGCCATGCTGCTTAGCATGCCTGTAGACTTGCCCAAATTGTGGAGATAATAGGCAAACGTATTGTGATGGGAGGCGAGGTTATATCAGGAGTATAACGGCGCTGCCATGTCAAGTTCTCACGGTCATTCCTGTAAGTAGGTGGACTGTTTTGAAACTCACTTGGTGTACAAATGTTGCGTTAAGTCTGCTATGCAAAATTATGCCATGAATCATGCTTTGTTAATAAATTAAAAACTCGAAAAATGCAGAGGAGAAAATGCATCTTTAAAGTGGATGGAAAATTTATTCACAAAAATTTTATTCTAAAAAAAAAAATAAGAAATTAATTTTTATGCTAACAATATTCTTAAGTTTTGTGCAAGATCAAAGAATTATGCTTCTTTGTACTGGCGCTCCACGATGCGTGAGCTGCACTAGCAGAGCTGATCGAGACGGAAGTAGACGACAGTTGCGGTTTAATAGGCAATATAGGCGGTCTTGTGTCATAGGCACCGGACTCAGAGCGCATGGACCGCCCATTCAAGTAGAAGTCAAGTTTCACGAAAGTGGGTCGCGACTCAGCCGGCATCTCCCAACACATCCTCATGAGCTTGGCTATATTCGATGGTGCACTGCTTGGCGGTATCAAACGTCGACCACTGCTGAGATAAGGCAGCAGCTCTCGAATCGGCACGTCACTGTAAGGCAGACTGCCGAGACTGTAGATCTCCCACATCACCACACCGAAGGACCACACATCCGAGCGCAGTGTGAAATTAGCCTCACTCTCCAACACCTCCGGCGCCGTCCACCGCGTAGAAATCAGACCGAAGGTGAAGTTCGAGCCCTCCGCTCGACTCAGACCGAAATCACCAATCTGTGGAAACGAGTATACCTACTGACGTAGTAGTCAACTAAACCTTGCTCACCTAGAGTGCACTACCATCAAACCGACTCGCCTTGATGGGAAGTGAGATGCTAGAAAGTCGCACTCGTAACTACTGTCGTGCTGCGAGATTTGGCTTGAAGCAACAACTTGGAAGACAGAACACCTCACTTCCAACTGTGCACCATCAATGTGCCCTTCACCACCAGCCCCCACCACTGCTTTCAGCAGTGGGTGAAGTTGAAAGGAGTGGGAAGTGGGAGAGTGGACTAGTGACGAGGCGTGTGTGGCAAGGAGATTACTCTGATGTGAGGTGCGGTCACGTGGAGGGCTATGTAGATGCGGCTGCAGTCACAGGGTGGATCTTTAAGTTGCAACGACTCCCATCTGCCATATCAGCCAACCATGAGCGTGTGAGGGTAACGTACCTTGACTTCTCGGCGACTGGTGAGGAAGATGTTGCGCGCAGCCAGATCGCGATGCTGAATATGCTTGGCCTCGAGAGCACGCATACCACTGACGATTTCTGACACAAACCGATAAAACTCCCGTGTTCGCACGGGATCTTCTCCCTCCCCTTCCCCTTCTCCGTTCGCCACCTTCTTTTCCTTCTTCTCCTCTTCCCTCTCCTCCATTCTCCCCTTCACCTTGGTGTTTCGGTTGAGGGAGTGGAGATAATCCAACAGCGTGCCACCAGAC